GCGCTCCTTCTAGCTCTCGGTATCTGCTCAACCAACCTGTCTCCTTCACTATAAATGCGTGCTTTCTACTCTCCATTGAGTCAATTCTGATCCTTGGCAACTTTATACGTGTGTCAGAGTAGAAATGAACTCTAGAGGGTTTTCCATGGCTGATTTCTTGGATGTAGCCTTCAAGCCTTTCTTACAAGGTACCTTTTGGGGGACTCAAACTTCCCACTTTTCTGTTAGCAGCCCCAACCATTTGTGTCACTCGGGAATAAACACAGGAAGCGCTACTGTTGTTGTTGCTGTTGGGTGCCACTGAGTTGAGTACAATCCATCGTGACCCTATGAACAACAGATCTGAACACTGTCACCATGTCAATTCACCTGGTCAAGGGTCTTGCTCTCCTCTGCTGACCCTCCACCTTTCCAAACATCAGGTTCCTCCCTAAGGTAGAGTCCTTCCTAGGAACATTCCCTAAATAAGTGAAGTTTCATCATCTTGCCTCCAAAGAGCTCTCTGACTCTCTAAGATCTATTTGTTTGTTCTTTTGGCTGTCCATGGGATGTTCAGTACTCTTCTCCAAAACCATAGGGCAAAGGTATCAATTCTCCTTCTGTCATCCTTATTCGTTGTCCAGCTCTCAGGTGTATAACAAGTGACTGGAAAGACCATGGCCTCAATCAGACGCTCCTTAGCCCTCAAACTGGCATCGTTATTTCTCAATAATTTGAAGAGGTCCCTAAATGCAGTCTTTCCTAGTGCAATACATTTCTTGATTTCCTGGCTGCTGGTACCAAGAGTGTTAACTGTGGATCCAAGTCAGATGAAGTTGTTGACAGATTCAATCTTTTTCTCCATCTATCACTGCCTATCTCTGTTATCTAAATGATAACTTGGACCAGGAGGCAGTCGTCAGAACAGAGCAAGGGAACACTGCATGGTTCAAAATTGGGAAGGGCCTACGCCAGGGATGCATCCTATCTCCACACCTCTTCAACCTATATGCAGAACAGATTATCCGGGAGGCTGGGCTTTATGAGGAGAAATGTGGGGTCAAGATTGGTGGACGATTTATCAACAATCTGCGTTATGCAGATGACACAACCCTGCTTGCTGAAACTGAGGAGGACCTGAAGCGCCTGCTGCAGAGTGTCAAGGACTGCAGCCTGCAATATGGATTGAGGCTCAGTGTCAAGAAGACAAAGATTCTCACCACTGTACCAATCGGCAGCATCAGGATGGATGGTGAAGAGATTGAGATTGTTCACAGCTTTAGTTTGCTTGGCTCCACAGTCAACAGTCTTGGCACCAGCAGCCAGGAAATTAAAAGGCGCATTGCCATGGGAAAGTCTGCTGTTAGGGACCTCTCCAAAGTGCTGAAGAGCAATGGTGTCTCTCTGGAGACTAAGGTGCGTCTGATACAGGCCATAGTCTTCGCAATCACCTGTAATGCATCAGAGAGTTGGACAATGACCAAGGAGGATAGAAGGAGAACTGATGCCTCTGAGCTGTGGTGCTGGAGAAGAGTACTGAGAATACCATGGACTGCTAGGAAAACAAATAGATTTGTCCTGGAGAGGGTTAAACCGGGTGGCTCCTTGGAGGCAAGGATTCTGAGGCTCCGTCTAACTTACTTCGGACATGTAGTGAGGAGAGACCGGTCCTTGGAGAGGGACATCATACTTGGGAGGGTGGAGGGACGGCGCAGGAGAGGAAGGCCCTCTATGAGGTGGATCGATTCAGTGACTGGGATAATTGGGATGGGAGTGTCAGAGACAGTGCGATTGGCACAGGACAGAGCGGAGTTTAGGGCTGTTGTACATAGGGTCGCTATGAGTCACAGGCGACTCGACGGCACATAACAACAACAACAACAACAACAACATCACTGCCTATCAGCCCAGTGGTAAGAATCTTTGTTTCCTTGACAGTGAAATGCAATCCACACTGAAGGCTGTATTCTTTGATATTCTTCTGTAAGTGCTTCAAGTCCTCTTCACTATCAGAAAGACTGAAAGGGGGTGCTATTGGCATAGGGTTGTGCTGTTAACCTCAAAGCAGCCCCTCTTTGTTGGTTTGAATCCACCAGCAATTTTGAGAGAGAAAGATGGGCAGTCTCCTCCCACGTGATTGACAGCCTCCAGAAAACCCAGCGGAGGATCCCCTACGAGTCAGCTCCGACCCAGTGGCAAATAGTGAAGGAACAGAGGTCCAGTTATGCTCAGAGTGCGAAACCAGTCAGGAATGGCAGAAAGCAGCCACGAGGCACATCTTTCTAATAGCTTCAGTGACGATACAGAGGCAAATGGGTACCATCCTTCCTCTCACTTGTGAAAACCCACATTAAGAACCAATGATCTACAGCCTATGTGACAATATGATAAATTCTGTTGTGGTCCAGCAGTTGATTGGAAGTCAGTGCTGAAGGGTTTTCTTCATGACCCAGGGTCCCAGATAGTACTTCTCATAAAATGTATATACCCACTCTGATTCTGTCTTAACCTACGTTACTAGACAGGATGAGTGGCCACTGCACTGAGAGTAGCCAAATGTTCAACTGTGTCACTAACCAGTTGAGTGACCTGAGTGGGACATTTATCTTCTGTGAGTCTCAGCTCCTTTCTCAATGTAAAGAAAGGATAGAAGACTTGAGATAAGCATTGTTACATATTATCATGGGAAAGGCACCAAGTGTCAGTTCAAGATGAGGGAGCAGATGCTTCAAGCTATCAAGTCAGAACTAAAACATTAATGCTGACATCCTTGGATGTGGGTGTACAGGAGAAGGTATGAGGGCTTATATAGTATGAAGAGATCCATGTGGATTCTCTTTTGACCCATTTTGCAGACTATTAGTACAAATGAAGGATTTTTTCCCCCCTCAAGATTTCATAGACACCTTGGGGCCCACAGGTGGGTTTCAGGGTGTTTGGAAATCCCTTAGTCTTGCTTTCAACGTGATGTTCACATGAGCATACTTCTAGATACGAGGGCTGGTGCTTTAATCACATTTTCAAAGAGTTGCAGTTCAAAAGCTATTAATAACTGTTTGATTAATGAAATCTGTGATCTCTTCCAGCGCTAACATTCAATAATTCAAATAACAATACTAGAAAATGTAAAACTGGCAATCATCTGGGACAAAGGAAAGAGAAATTACTCAGCTAAAAGCAGTTAACAAGGGCCTGATTGCCTCGCAAGCACTGGGCTTTGGCACTTGGCTGGTGGCCTGTCTCAGAGCTTGGGGACTAGAGCCACTTGGACCTGCTGGCCATCAGTTGCCAACACCGAAAAAGGAGCTATCAATTCCACTTCCACAGTGTATTGGGGGATTCAGGGGCAACAGAAGTAGGAAGAAAGAAAAAGGGGCTGTGACACTGTAATTCTAAGCTGCATCTTCTAAGCATAGTCACTCTTTTCTGCTTTGAGTATCATGAGCAAGCATCTTTCTATCTTACAGGTTGGATGCCACCAAGTGGGAATCAAAGATCAATGATGTGTGCACAAGGCATTGAAACGTACCTCGCTGAAAGCAAAGTTTGCAAAACTAAGAAGAATGTAAATCATATTGGACGAGAAGAGTTTGAGTGCTCCATTTTCAGACTTCTCAAAACATTAAAAATGGCCTTTTAACTCTCTAATGTGTGTATCCAAACAAGGCTTGCCTAAACTTCTAAACAGTGACACTTCGTTAACTTAAGAAAGATCCTATTTCCCCACAGTCAATACATTGTGCAGTAGTTGCTTCTAAAACAGTCCACTGCATGGAAAGCAGGCCTCTACCTCCCGGCACATCTCCAAACCAAAGTCTGACCTATGATTTCACCCACCTCCTGGCTGTTCAGTCAAGAGGAAAGATGACATCTCCAGCCAAGGGACCAGTGTGGCAAGGGCCTGCCCTCCTGTCCCTCAGCAGTATCTGAGGACTGAGCTGGAAACAGCTGTCTATCCTTCCCTTGGCAGCAACAGACTCCATAAGAATAAGATGTTCCCTGAACATAGATGAGCAAGAAGAGGACTATAGGGAAAACTAACTCTGGAGTCAAGCCAGCCAATCTCCGTACAAATCTCCAATCTGTTACTTCTGGCTAGAAAGCTAATCTTTCTGAACTTCAATTTCATCATCTGTGAAATGGGCACTCTTTGCTTGGCTCCACAATCAACACTCTTGGTAGCAGCATCCAGGAAATCAAAAGACAAACTGCATTGGGAAAGTCGGCTGTCAGGGACATCTCCAGAAGACTGAAAAAGCAACGATGTCAGTTTAGAGACTAAGGTGCGCATCATGTAGGCCACAGTCTTCACAATTACATGGTAAGCATCAGAAAGCTGGACAATGACTAGGGATGATAGAAAGAGAAATCTCTTTGAGTTATGGTGCTGGAGAAGAGTAATGAATATACCATGGACTGCTAGGAGAACAAACAGGTTGACCCTGAAGAAGGTGAAACTAGGGTGCTCCTTGGAGGTAAGGATTCTCAATCTCCATCTGACATACTCTGGGCACATTACAAGGAGGGACTAGTCCTTGGGAAGGGACATCATGCTTGGAAGGGTTGGAGCACAGTATAAGAGAGGAAGACCATGGATGAGATGGATTGACTCAGTGACTGGAGTAATGGAGGCAGGTGTGTCAGAGATGGTGAGGTTGGTTCAGGAGAGAGCAGGGTTCAGACCTGTTGTACATAAGGTCGCTATGAGTCACAGGAGACTTGACAGCACATAACAATGACAACACCCCCCCGCCCCCAAAGATTCATTGGGAGGATAAACCAGAGAAGGCACAGTCCTGGCATACGAATCCCTTATATAAATTCTTCCTGTTGCGGCTACTGCTGTTACGAATGTTACTACCATTCTCAAGGTTCACCTTCCCATTCCAGGCAGTGTCTGTGACGCTCCTGGGACAGAAAGTGGACACTCAGAAGGCGCCTGCCCAGGGTTCTGGTTTCTCTGTTAGTTCCTTGCCTGCCTCCCTCACGGAGTGCTCAGACCTCAAGGGCCCTCCTCTCACCTTCCTTTTGTTGGTGGGATTGACGTAGAGGTAACTGAGGACCGTCTTCAAACCCACTTTATCATTCAGCTTTTCATAGGTGGTGCCATAATCTGTTGACCTGCAGGCAGAAAGAAAGAAAAAAACCTGAGAGGTTGTCTTACCAAACGGGAGATTGTGTTTAAAGGGAGCCAGGCTCTCTCCCCTGCATCCACACCTTTGTTCCCAAATCACATGAGTGCTTAAAAGTGTTCTTCAGAGATAAAAAGCCCCATTAATTTTGGAAGAGCAATTAGACTAATGCTTCTGCTTCCTACCTGAGCTCACCCCTCTGCTCTCGGCCTTTCTCAGAGACCTAGTTTTCTCCCCTTTCTGAAGCGGAGCGGTGACAGGAGCTGCTGGAGACAGCCTGCCTCCCACTCAGCCCTGTGCCCTCTGATTCTCTGCATGGCTCTGCGGAGGGGCACAGGTTCCCAGCAGCAGGTTCTCTGGACAGGAGCTGTATACTCAGGGACCAGAGCGCAGTGATCATGCAGTATCCCAAGGTCAAATGGGTACAACCAACATCACGCCCTCACCACTGAGCCTGAAGCCAGGCACCCTCAGGGAGGCAAGAGGAACTGCCACCACGTAAGAATCTACGAGGCCCAGTGGTCAAATGAGACAATGCACAGCAGAGGAACGGAAGCTTTACATGGGGCGAGTGTGTGTCCAGGAGCAAAGGCTGAAGACACTGAAGACACAGAACCGCCTCCAATAGTTCATCCTTCCAATTACCCTTGAGGTCACCTATACTGCCTTTAGGCCTAGTTTCCATAACTGTGACCTATTCCCATAGTGTCTGGGCAGTACAAACAGCTAATAGTCATGGCTGCTAATCAACAAACTGGAGGTTCAAGTACACCTGGAACCTCAAAAGAGAAGGCTTTTTTTAAATTGAGATTTTAATAAATGTTTATAAAAAACTTGGTTTTCCAATCCTTTATTGTTGCACATTTTTCTCCCTGCTCCTCCTCGTCCCCAGTTCATTTTCTTTGGAAAAAAGTTCTTTCATTGTTATACAGTGACACCCCCCCCCATTTACTATGCAGCTATTATTCTGGACTCTTGTCATACCAGTAATACCTAATTTTATATTCCTTTTATACAGTTCTCTGCCTCATCTGTTTCAAAGCCGAGTACATTATTTATCCTCTCTTCTCTTAGTTTCCCCCAATCCCCACGTCAGTCCTGTTCTATAACAGTGGCTTTATGCAATATTTGTCTTTTTATGACTAAGATATTTCACTCAGCATAATGTCCTCCATGGTCACCCATTTTCCAAAATAGTTCACAGGATCTTTATTTTTCAGTGCCACATAATATTCCATATTATACCACAGCTTCTCTCCCCATTCATTTGCTGATGGACACTTGATCTACTTCTGAAACGTCAGCCACTGAAAAAATAGAACATGGACCTACTTTCACACACTATGACCTGTACTTGATCCTATAGCAACTGTTTTTGTGTAATTTTTATTTTTGGGCCTTAAGCCCAAAAATATGAGCTATATGAGCCCTGAGAAGAAAGGCAAGTCAATCACTGGTTCATTCCCCTCCGTCTGAGCATCCTCTCACATTGCCATGGCAAAGGAGGAGGGAAGGGTACCAACCAATGCGATTTAAGTAGCTACTCTCCCTTCCACACTGGTCATCTAACACCTTCACAATGCCCCCAACACTCCTCTTTCCCTGTTCAGACACCAAGCAAGCCTCAGCCCACTGTCTGTCTCCACTGGACTCTCCAGATTTCTCCTACTCAACTCACCTTCCCTCTGACCAACTGGTCTCACTTGACTGCATTCAGTTTCAAATCCAGTTTCTATCTATGCCTCTGTATCTCTCTTATCTTTGGCAACAGGCTGCCCTCATAACCACTGGCCCTGCTTTTTCCTTTGAGCTTTTACCTGAACTCCAACTCTAATCTGTCCCTACTCTGGTCCATAGTTTAATTTTACAAGCTAAACAGCGCAGGAGGGGAAGACCCTCTATGAGGCAGATTGATTCAGTGACTGGGGTAATCAGGATGGGTGTTTCGGAGACAGTGCGATTGGCACAGGATAGAGCAGGGTTTAGGGCTGTTGTACATAGGGTCGCTGTGAGTTGCAAATGACTCGATGGCACATAGCAACAACAACAAGAGGCAAATATGTGTGTTAACCTTTCAGAGTTATCCCCATTACCTATTTTAACCAGAAAGCCCTCTTCTCCAGCCCTGACGCCCTCTCCTTTTCCTCCTCTGATCAGCTTTCAAAGCCTTCTTCCTCCACTCCCCTCTCTCCTCTCTGGCTACTGTCCCCTTCATTATGCACCCCAGGCACACTGTCCACGCACCTTTCCTAGTGCTTTTGATATTGTCATGATTAATTTCTTGATGCTGTACCTCCCCTGCCACAATGTAAGCTCCTCAAGGACAAGGAACTTCAGAGGCCACTATCGTGAGAGGAAAGAACGTGAAACGTGGGCAAGTGAGACCTGCTGGCTGCCTAAGTCTGTAACTCCTGACAGCACGAATATATGCAAGCTATTTGACCTCTTTCTTATCTGAAAAAATGGGAATCATTTACTCTCAGAAGGCATTTGTGGAGATGCAAAAATAGAAGACATGTCAAACCTCTGAAAAGATGTCAAGCACACTGTCATGTAAATGAAGTGTTAATGATAAATATTTTTTTTAAAATAATACAGAAACTAAAAGGTTTCACCTCTTTCCCTCCCTCCCTCCCCAGCGCAAAGCAGGTTCTTATATATAACCACGTTAGTATTTCCATTAGCCTTCCTTGGGCTACAGTTCCTACATCATCACTGCTTATTACAACTTTAATAATCAGTCCCATAAAGTGACTTCTCATATTGCTTCTGGGCTAACTCACTTAGAGAAACCAGAAGCTCTGACCATCACTCTCTATCTTTGCTGTCTATGCCTTCACCTCTCAAATGGGTCTCATCGAGGTTCTCTCTTACATCACTTCACCCCTCCTCTCTCCTCCGTCCTCGCTCCAGTGTCTTCCTGCTCATGCTGCCTCAGTTTCACCCCAGCTGCCCAACTGCACCTGCTTCCTTCAATCTTCACTGTCATCCTCCCTTTTCCTTCCAACCACCCTCCCTATGGCTTGCAGATTAAGGAGTCTACCAGCCGGGTCTGTGTGGATCCCTGGTCACCATTGCTGGCACGTAGTGGAGCTGTATCTCCCAACCTTAGGACGCTACCATCTGGCTTCCAGTCCTTACTGTACAGCTTTCCAACAGCTTCTTTGCTCCCTCCTCTCCCCCAGCCTCACTAATCTTTGCTCAACATACTCAGTCTCTTCACTACCCTGCCTGCATACAAAACACCCCCTTCACTGGAAATGTCCATCTTCCGTTTTCCCTACTTAATAATTTCTTCTCCAGTTCTACTACCGCCCTCCTTCTAACTTTCCCAGGACAAAATGAGTTATGATTTTCTTTGTGTTCTCATAGCATAGTACACGTTTTTCTAATGTAGCACTTAGCTCATTGTTTTAGCCATTCTGTTCGTTCCAGGACCACTTCTTGACTATATTTTTTTCCTAAGGTCAAGAAACATCTCTCATTCAGCCTCACTGACTTTCACGATGCGGGGGACAAAGTAAATGTTAAACATACTGATTTTTGTATTGTTTTGCTTTGTCTTCGTCAGTGAGCAAGAACGAATGTATAGGTTTATTCATTCAGATCTGCTCACAAGATCCTAATCAACTGCTAACCTCCACTGACAATTCAACGCAGCTAGACCTAGAAAAATACGCCTGTGAACCGTGCTATTGGAGAAAAGTACTGAATATGCTTCGGACTGCCAAAAGAACAAAAATTATATGTTTTGGAGAAGGTGCAACCAGAGTGCTCCTTGGAGCCAAGAGTAGCGAAGTTTCTTCTCACATACTTTGGGCATGTTGCTGAGAAAGGTGATTCCTCAGAGAAGGACCTTATGCTTGGAAAGGTGGGAGGACAGTGAAGGAGAGGAAGGCTCTTAACCAGGTGGGTTGACACAGTGACTGCAGCAATGGGCTCGAGTGTGTCAGAGGTAGTGAGGTTGGCATAAAATAGATAGGACAAGGTTCAGATCTATTCTTCACAAGGTCACTATGAGTCATCCCCAACTTGAAAGCCCCTAACAACAACAACATACTTCGAAAAAAAAGAATTCTGGTGGCATCATGCATAATGTACAAAGCTGCATACATGTCAAAGTTCAGACTTCTTCATGGTTCTTTGGGAGAAAGACAGGAAGTCTCTTCCAGTAAACATCTGCAGCCTTGGAAATCTGATGGACGTTCAGTGTGATTTATTTCCAGGAAACATACTTGACCCTTTGGATTCTGGCACATTGGCACAGCCACCAGACTAGTAAGGTCGAGCCAGGAAAGAAGACACTCATTCAAAAACTAAGGTTTAACTATCCAGTCTTCTGAGCACCAGTCCCTCCAGGGGAGAGGAGGAGGCAGCCCAAGTGAGTCAGAGGCAGTGAGCTGCAGGCTTTTATTAATCCACATAAAGCATGTTAACTACCACCTGATTCTACACTCTAGAATGAAGTGCAGTATAGGGAAAAGGAACCTGAACTTGGGAGTCTGGAAATGTACATTCTACAACAGATTCTGAAATAAGCCCCATTCATTCATTAACACAAGATATTTCATGCAGATCATCAAAAAGCCCCTCTTGGACTAGAAGGTCTATTATCCTACCAACAGACTACTGTTTCCCTAGTGTCTCCTCCTAGCACTATATATAACCAAACACTCAACTTACAAGAGCTAAATTCTCAGGGTTCCTGGTATGGCTGATGTCACAACAAACTTCCTTCCAGAATCTAAATAGCCCTCACCAAAGGCAGGGCGCGTAGCATCTTCCTGCAGGCTGCAAGAGGGATTCACATTGACTTTGCTCTTTTGCAACTGTGGCTGCTGAGAGTAGGGGCTTCCCAGGGAAGGAGACTCTCCACATTCCTTCTTCCTCATGCCTCAGGCAGTGGCTGTGCACTCGGGCTGACAGAAACAAGGGGTGCTCCCTGAAGACATCGCAAGAGTCACTGACCCTGCTCAACCAAAGGTCCCT